GACTTGTCAGACGAACCTAAACCTCTCTGCACAAGATGCTTCTCCTCAGCTGCTTTCTCCGTCACCCCCTCCTCCTTTTTCTCGACCACTCCTTTGATCCCCTCTCTCCTACTCAGCTCTGCATTATCCAAGACACTAGCTTTGATGTTGCTGCTGCTGCTGCTGCCGCTGCTGTTGGAACCAACATTGCTGGCTGCAGTTTTATCAATGCTGCTGTCAACAGGGCTCATTCCGTACCACTTCCTATCAACACCTTATCCTTCCCTACTATACCACTCAATCCAGTATCGCCCCCATTATTGCTGCCAGCTGACTGTGCCTTATCATCCCCACTCTTTCCAATTTCCACCTTCTCATCCACACAGCCAACACTCTTATCATTCCCATTCTTCACCATATCACTCCCACCACTCTTCCCACCAACGTCACCCCCACTCTTGCCCCCAGAATCACCCCATCCCTGTTCAAAAAGGCCATAGCCTTACCCAACAGCTCCGAAGCCTCGTCCTCTCCCATCCTTCGCTTTCCACTCCCTCCCCCACTCTTTCCCCCACCCCCTTCCTTCCCACCAACACCACCCGCACTTTTGCGACCAATTCCCATTGCCTTGTATAGCAGGTCAGCAGCACCATCCTCCCCCATCAATCGCAGCAGGCCAGCCAACAAAGCTCCTTCCAGGGCATGCCCTTCCTTGCTGCCCTCCTTGCTCCCACTCCCCTTCCCCTTCACCATCCCCCCCATTCCTCCAGCAGGTGTGACTGTGCTGCGTGTGCCTGTAAGCGGTGTTTCAGAAGCAGGAGAGGCTGTGGGGGGTGCTGCTGCAGCAGCTGTGACAGTGGTAGTAGGGGGTGTGCTGTTATCGAGAGCCGTGCTGCTTTGAGCAAATGTGACAGTATCAGGGGCTGTGGATCTGATAGTATCGGGGGCTGTGGGTGTGATAGCATCAGGGACCGCTGTTGTGACATTATCACCAGAGGATGTGGTGCTAGCAGTGCTGGCAGAGGGACTAATGGAGAGAGGAGAAACAGCTTCTGACAAATCTCTTTCCTCCTTCACCTGCTGCTGCTGCTGCTGCTGCTCCTGTTGCTGCTGTTGCACTGACAGCGCCCTCTCTGAATCCCCCTTCTTCTCGCTTTTCACAGAGCTGTCCTTTGCTTTCCCCCTTTCCTGCTCCTTTTCCCCAGCCTTCCCCTTGTGAGGCGCGGTGGAGAGCTGTTGTGGCAGAAGGTCACATTTCTTTAGGAGGCTGGTGATGGCGGAGCTGACAAACGCCTTTATCTCCGCATCCACCACCGCCTCTGCCTCCGCCACCCTGTCGACAATGGGACAGGGGCAAGAAGAGGAGGAAAAGCAAAGGGCAAGATGTAAGACAAGGGAGTGGGAAGGGGGTGGAGAGCTGTTGTGGCAGCAGGTCGCATTTCTTTAGGAGGCTGGTGATGGCGGAGCTCACATCACAAACGCCTTGATCTCCGCATCCACTACTGCCTCTGCCTCCGCCACTCTGCGGTTTGAAGAAAGAGAAGGGGAAAGGGGGTGGGCTTATGGATCGACCCTGCCGCATGCAGAGAGAGAAGGGAGAGGAGGCTGGTGATGGCGGAGCTGACAAACGCCTTGATCTCCGCATCCACCACTGCCTCCGCCTCCTCCACCCTGTCGACAATGGGACAGGGGCGAGAAGTGGAGGGGAAGAGGAGGGCAAGATGCGAGGAAAAGGAGTGGGAAGGGAGAGGCAACAGGCTGGCGATGGCAGAGCTGACAAACGCCTTTACCCCCGCATCCACCATAAAGAGTGAAGAGAGAGGGAGTGCGCTTATGGGTTATAGCATCATTGAGTACCATTGAAGGGGACCCCTAACTGACGAACTGCCTCCTCCAGCGTGCGCGAATGGAGAGACAGAGCGTGCATTTGTCACCGAATGTGCACTTTGTGCATACGCGATAACAGTTTGGGCGCGGGTGTAGTTTTGAATGTAGCAATTGTTGTATTGAGATTCGAAGGTAGGTTGTTGGGTAACAGGAGAGTTGACGCGTGGTTAGTAGGAAGGTTGAGGAAAACACCGAGGGGTTGAAATCCAACAAACCAATCAGGAGCAACCAAGCCCAAGCTCGCGGCGCACACTGAGAAATGTGCGCCTTGTTGCTCAATGTGCGCTTCGAGCTTGGGATTGGACTGGGCAAGGTAAATCCAGCCCCACACACCCACTCGTTGCTTTTCTCCTGTTGTCCTTTCGTACAGTGGTAGTTGTTACCTTATATCTAGCATACGGTGACACTCAGCTAAGGGAGAACCTACGGGGTGAGAGAGGATCTCTTTCATAATGGAAGTGACTGAGGTAGAGCAGTAACATTCAAGGGAAGGGACGAGGTTGTGACAGGATGAAGAGCAGGTGCAGGGAACCAGTGAGTCTCTGACACGTTTATGCACTTGCTCCGACACAATGTAGAGGATAGAACTACTAATCCGAGCTGACACGGGCCCACGATAACTGTGAAAGAAGGCTCTGACCCAGCTATTCTCCTTCCCCATTGACTCCCCAGCAGCACCCGGTCCATGCACTCGTGCACCACCAGCTCTGCTGCTCACTCACACCACCTCCTCTCAGGGACAAGCCCTAACCCACCTTCTTTCGAATGAGTCGACAGTGACGGTAAAGGACGGCTCCGGACCAGCGAGTTTTCTCCCCCACAGCGAGCCCAGCAGCACCCGATGCATGCACTCTCGTGCACCACCAGCTCTGCTGCTGAGCCGCTTCAACTCAGCCCACACCTGAACATTTCAACAATCAACTGCTCACCTCCTTTCGAATGAGTCCACAATGACAATGAAAGAGGGCTCCAAACGAGCAAGTTTCCTCCCCCATTGGCTGCTCAGCAGCACCCCGATCCATGCACTCCTGCACCGCGACTCTGCATCTCACTCACATTCCTCCCACCTCCCCTCAGACAAGCCAAGACCCACCTCCGTTCAAACGAGTCCACGATGACCGTGAATGACGGTTCCAAGCCAGCTAGTTTCCTGCCCCATTGGGATCCCAGCAGCACCCGATCCATGCACTCCTGCACCACCAGCTCTGCGTCTCGCAGCAGCGGCAGGGTTGACCCGGGGGAGGAAGAACCGAGGGAGGCGGAGGGGAAGGAGCCGAGCATGGGCCCCAACTCCTGGGCGAACTCCTGCATCTGAGAGAGGGGGAAAGAGAGGGCATGGAAAGGGAAAGAGAGGGGGGCATGTGTGTTTGCTGCAGCAGCGGCAGGGTTGATCCGTGGGAGGAAGAACCGAGGGAGGCGGAGGGGAAGGAGCCGAGCATGGGACCCAACTCCTGGGCGAATTCTTGCATCTGAGTGGAAAAGGGATATGGGGAAAGGAGGGGAGGGGAGGGGAGGGAATGGAAGGGAAAGGAAGGGAAGGGAAGGGAGAGGTGCTAGTGTGAGCTGCTGCAGTGCGATGCGATCCGGGTGGATCCAGGGGAGGGGGAACTGACGCTGGCAGAGGGAGGGGAAGGTGGAGCCGCGCATGGGGCCCAACTCCTGGGCGAGTTCTTGCATCTGAGAGGGGGAGATACGGGGAGCGCAAGGGAGGAAACGGAAGTGCAGGGGCGGGGAGACCGTGTGTGTGGCGCAGTGTCATCCAGCTAAAGCCGCGCATGAGGGCAGCAGTGGCAGGGTGGACCTGGGGGAGGGGGAACCGAGAAAGGCGGAGGGGAAGGCGCCAAGCATGGGTCGAGCTCTTGAGCGAACTCGTGCATCTGCGAGGGGGAGGGATGGGAAGGCTGAGTGTGCAACAGCAGCAGCAGCAGCAGCAGCAGAAGCAGCAACAGCGGGCAGCTGGAACTGAGCTTGGGGCTGACATTTGAGTCGACTCAAAAGGCGCCAAGCATGGGTCGAGCTCTTGAGCGAACTCGTGCATCTGCGAGGGGGAGGGATGGGAAGGGGAACAAGAAGCGAGAGGGGAGAGGGTGTGTGCTGCTGCAGTGTCATCACGCTGGTGAGCTCGTGAATATGCAACGGGGCTTAAGAGATGTTCGGTCATGCCTTCTGTTGTGCCTTGTCCTTGGGACTGATATATTGTTGCGTCTGTCCCCTGTAGTCACCCATCCCCTTCGATGCTGCAGGGTGTTTTTGAGAATTCTCAAAAACACCCTGTAGTCACCCATCCCCTTCCCACTTTCCTCCTTCCCGGTTCCCGATTCTCCTTTCCTCCTTTCCCTTCCCCCCTTGCTTCCCCCCGCCATACCCTCCTTCTCAGTTTGCGGACGATGGCATGTTCCCAGACCCTCCAGAGGTATGAGTGAAGGTGTTGGTTGGGGGGTACGGGGGGTTGGGTTGGGGCGTAAGGTGCACAGTTGCAGATGCATGCTTGCAGATGCCCCTTCTCAGTTTGCGGACAATGGCATGTTCCCAGACCCTCCAGAGGTATGAGTGAAGGTGTTGGTTGGGGGGTACGGGGGGGTGGGTTGGGGCGTAAGGTGCACAGTTGCAGATGCATGCTTGCAGATGCCCCTTCTCAGTTTGCGGACAATGGCATGTTCCCAGACCCTCCAGAGGTATGAGTGAAGGTGTTGGTTGGGGGGTACGGGGGGTTGGGTTGGGGCGTAAGGTGCACAGTTGCAGATGCATGCTTGCAGATGCCCCTTCTCAGTTTGCGGACAATGGCATGTTCCCAGACCCTCCAGAGGTATGAGTGAAGGTGTTGGTTGGGGGGTACGGGGGGTTGGGGCGTAAGGTGCACAGTTGCAGATGCATGCTTGCAGATGCCCCTTCTCAGTTTGCGGACAATGGCATGTTCCCAGACCCTCCAGAGGTATGAGTGAAGGTGTTGGTTGGGGGGTACGGGGGGTTGGGGCGTAAGGTGCACAGTTGCAGATGCATGCTTGCAGATGCCCCTTCTCAGTTTGCGGACAATGGCATGTTCCCAGACCCTCCAGAGGTATGAGTGAAGGTGTTGGTTGGGGGGTACGGGGGGTTGGGGCGTAAGGTGCACAGTTGCAGATGCATGCTTGCAGATGCCCCTTCTCAGTTTGCGGACAATGGCATGTTCCCAGACCCTCCAGAGGTATGAGCATGAGCAGGCGTTTTGGAATGAATGTGTTGGTGGGCCTGGGGCGTATATTGCACGGTTGCAGAAGCAGGCTTGTATGCAGGCCTGTTCTCAGTTTGCTTGCGGACAATGGCATGTTCCCAGACCCTCCAGAGGTAGGAATGAATGAAGGTGTTGGTGGGAAGCTGGGGCTGGGGCTGGGGCGTCAGGTGCACAGCACAGCAGCATGCAGGGCTGTATGGCTTGCGTTGGGCCCTCAGCCTCCCTCAGTGGGCCCTCCCCCGGGTGCACCCTGCGCTTGTTGCAGCAGCATACGACTTTTGAGACGTCTCAAAAGTCAGTGGGCCCTCCCCCGGGTGCGCCCTGCGCTTGTTGCAGCAGCAAACGCAGTCTCCCCTCCCCTCCCCTTACATCTCTTTCTCCCCGTTGCATATTCACGAGCTCACCAGGAGCTGAGCCCCATGCTGATGAGCTCGTGAATGGTCCTGCAGTGCATGGTGCTGCAGTGCATGGTGCTGCAGTGCATGGTGCTGCAGTGCATGGTCCTCCAGTGCATGGTGCTGCAGTGCATGGTGCTGCAGTGCATGGTGCTGCAGTGCATGGTGCTGCAGTGCATGGTGCTGCAGTGCATGGTGCTGCAGTGCATGGTGCTGCAGTGCATGGTGCTGCAGTGCATGGTGCTGCAGTGCATGGTCCTGCAGTGCATGGTCCTGCAGTGCATGGTGCTGCAGTGCATGGTGCTGCAGTGCATGGTGCTGCAGTGCATGGTGCTGCAGTGCATGGTGCTGCAGTGCATGGTGCTGCAGTGCATGGTGCTGCAGTGCATGGTGCTGCAGTGCATGGTGCTGCAGTGCATGGTGCTGCAGTGCATGGTGCTGCAGTGCATGGTGCTGCAGTGCATGGTGCTGCAGTGCATGGTGCTGCAGTGCATGGTGCTGCAGTGCATGGTGCTGCAGTGCATGGTGCTGCAGTGCATGGTGCTGCAGTGCATGGTGCTGCAGTGCATGGTGCTGCAGTGCATGGTGCTGCAGTGCATGGTGCTGCAGTGCATGGTGCTGCAGTGCATGGTGCTGCAGTGCATGGTGCTGCAGTGCATGGTGCTGCAGTGCATGGTGCTGCAGTGCATGGTGCTGCAGTGCATGGTGCTGCAGTGCATGGTGCTGCAGTGCATGGTGCTGCAGTGCATGGTGCTGCAGTGCATGGTGCTGCAGTGCATGGTGCTGCAGTGCATGGTGCTGCAGTGCATGGTGCTGCAGTGCATGGTGCTGCAGTGCATGGTGCTGCAGTGCATGGTGCTGCAGTGCATGGTGCTGCAGTGCATGGTGCTGCAGTGCATGGTGCTGCAGTGCATGGTGCTGCAGTGCATGGTGCTGCAGTGCATGGTGCTGCAGTGCATGGTGCTGCAGTGCATGGTGCTGCAGTGCATGGTGCTGCAGTGCATGGTGCTGCAGTGCATGGTGCTGCAGTGCATGGTGCTGCAGTGCATGGTGCTGCAGTGCATGGTGCTGCAGTGCATGGTGCTGCAGTGCATGGTGCTGCAGTGCATGGTGCTGCAGTGCATGGTGCTGCAGTGCATGGTGCTGCAGTGCATGGTGCTGCAGTGCATGGTGCTGCAGTGCATGGTGCTGCAGTGCATGGTGCTGCAGTCTTTGCAGCAATTAGCCGGTGGATGGGCTGCATAAGGTGAGTGGGAGCGTTAGTCCAGTCAATGATGTGGTTGGTCGCTTTCGAGAACTCTCAAAAGTGACTCGGATTCAGTGACATGGTTCTTGTGCTCTTTTTCTTCCCCCACATTTTCCCCACTCTCTTTCCCCCCCTCTCCAACCACCCTGTATTCAATGCACCCAGATTGCGGCAGTGGATGGTGCAGGGGCAGGAGGGGGGGGAGCAGCAGAGGAGGAGGATCCGTTTGACTCCTTCCCAGACCCGCACGAGGTGAGACGGGAGGTGGAGAAAACGAAAAGGGGACATAATGCTGGGTAGAAGCGTGGCATTTTGAGACGTCTCTAAATTTGAAAATGGGACACAGGCTTTAGTAGAGGCCTGGCTTGGGTTTTTTCTCAAAAACACATGGGGTGGGAGAAAGAGCAGCAGAGGAGGTCTCTGAGTTAAGTCAAAACACAGGTGGAGGGGGAGAAGGAGAAGCATAGGAAGAGGGCTCGTTGGATTCCCGTCAGACCCTCATGAGGTAAGGGAGGAGGTGGGAAGCGGGAAGGGGGTGGGGGAAGGGATCAAAATGAGGGGCGGATGAGAAGGATGATCTGGCTAAATGATGCATACATGTATATGGTGTATATAATTACTATTTATTTCATGCATTTATTTCAGTCATAAAGCACTGTTCATGTGCATTTTTCTGCTGTTCGGTCATGCCTTCTGTTGTGCCTTGTCCTTGGGACTGATATATTGTTGCGTCTGTCCCCTGTAGTCACCCATCCCCTTCGATGCTGCAGGGTGTTTTTGAGAATTCTCAAAAACACCCTGTAGTCACCCATCCCCTTCCCACTTTCCTCCTTCCCGGTTCCCGATTCTCCTTTCCTCCTTTCCCTTCCCCCCTTGCTTCCCCCCGCCATACCCTCCTTCTCAGTTTGCGGACGATGGCATGTTCCCAGACCCTCCAGAGGTATGAGTGAAGGTGTTGGTTGGGGGGTACGGGGGGTTGGGTTGGGGCGTAAGGTGCACAGTTGCAGATGCATGCTTGCAGATGCCCCTTCTCAGTTTGCGGACAATGGCATGTTCCCAGACCCTCCAGAGGTATGAGTGAAGGTGTTGGTTGGGGGGTACGGGGGGGTGGGTTGGGGCGTAAGGTGCACAGTTGCAGATGCATGCTTGCAGATGCCCCTTCTCAGTTTGCGGACAATGGCATGTTCCCAGACCCTCCAGAGGTATGAGTGAAGGTGTTGGTTGGGGGGTACGGGGGGTTGGGTTGGGGCGTAAGGTGCACAGTTGCAGATGCATGCTTGCAGATGCCCCTTCTCAGTTTGCGGACAATGGCATGTTCCCAGACCCTCCAGAGGTATGAGTGAAGGTGTTGGTTGGGGGGTACGGGGGGTTGGGGCGTAAGGTGCACAGTTGCAGATGCATGCTTGCAGATGCCCCTTCTCAGTTTGCGGACAATGGCATGTTCCCAGACCCTCCAGAGGTATGAGTGAAGGTGTTGGTTGGGGGGTACGGGGGGTTGGGGCGTAAGGTGCACAGTTGCAGATGCATGCTTGCAGATGCCCCTTCTCAGTTTGCGGACAATGGCATGTTCCCAGACCCTCCAGAGGTATGAGTGAAGGTGTTGGTTGGGGGGTACGGGGGGTTGGGGCGTAAGGTGCACAGTTGCAGATGCATGCTTGCAGATGCCCCTTCTCAGTTTGCGGACAATGGCATGTTCCCAGACCCTCCAGAGGTATGAGCATGAGCAGGCGTTTTGGAATGAATGTGTTGGTGGGCCTGGGGCGTATATTGCACGGTTGCAGAAGCAGGCTTGTATGCAGGCCTGTTCTCAGTTTGCTTGCGGACAATGGCATGTTCCCAGACCCTCCAGAGGTAGGAATGAATGAAGGTGTTGGTGGGAAGCTGGGGCTGGGGCTGGGGCGTCAGGTGCACAGCACAGCAGCATGCAGGGCTGTATGGCTTGCGTTGGGCCCTCAGCCTCCCTCAGTGGGCCCTCCCCCGGGTGCACCCTGCGCTTGTTGCAGCAGCATACGACTTTTGAGACGTCTCAAAAGTCAGTGGGCCCTCCCCCGGGTGCGCCCTGCGCTTGTTGCAGCAGCAAACGCAGTCTCCCCTCCCCTCCCCTTACATCTCTTTCTCCCCGTTGCATATTCACGAGCTCACCAGGAGCTGAGCCCCATGCTGGTGAGCTCGTGAATATGCAAGGCAAGTGCTTCGAAGTCATGGGTTACTACGAATTAGATTTAGGGTAATATCTAAAAACAACCCCGTGCACCCCACCCTAAACCCAGAGAACACGCGCATGACTAAACAAAAAGGAGTCCACATGCGCAGAACCAGACGAAACCGGCCCAAAACCTACGGCGAGCATCAACGCTTTCCCGAACCTCCGCGCTGCATTCCCCCACGACCACCTCGCGCGCGAGTCTTGGTGACTGCCTTAGCTCCGGGAACCATCCACCTGCCAGTCTTGTAGGTGCGCTTCATCCTATACTTGGTGATCGACTTCATGCTGTCCGTCACAGGAACCACCATACCAACAGCGGCCAAAGAAGAACGTCCGTCGGGGCTGTCGCACCAGTACGCCAAGGTATATATCATCTCCACGGCGATCCACTGCGACCAGGGATCTCCCTGCTTGTTCACCACCTGCAGAGCCTGAGACACGACCGTGTCGACCCATGCATTCGCATGTTCAGGCGCAACGGACCCTCCCTCCGAACGAGATACAACATGCATCACAGCCGGGATCACATTCTCCAAGTTATCCGGAAGAAGTGGCCAAGCTCTCTGAAGGTCGGTCTGCTTCCCCACTGCCACGGCCGTGCGAGAGGCTTCCGCGAATTGTGGCGCAGTCTCAGAGGCCACGTACCGCGCTGCTGCGAATGTGGAGGTGATACAGACTGCGTACGCAATAGAAGGGAGTCCGGCAGGGGCCTCCAGCGAGGCAGTAACGTCCCCGATCGCCTCGCACACCGCAGCCTGGAAATCCAACCCTCTGTTCTCATTCGCAGACACGTTGCCGAAAAAAGTACGGAGCCTGCAATAGATGCATGTTCAACTTGTAAGGATGATCAGCAAATGCAACAGATGTAGAAAACAGGATGTGTAGAAGCAACAGAAGGATGTGCACACAATACCTGCCAGTGTCGCTGCAGCAGCCACGAGCCCACATGGCAGTCCACAACCCTTTCGGCAGCTTCTTGGCAACGGCCCACTACGCCGGCCATTCCGGGTGACGCGCAGGCGCCTCGGGGTCGTTGGGATTCTCCCACAGCACCTTGGAGACGTGTCCGTCCAGCACCATCATGGCCACGGACACGTTGAACATCACGTCCTCGTGCTGCAACGAGTAGCCAACATAGCGAGAGCGTCCGCCGTGGACAATGTCGCCTGTCCAGCCAGGACCACCTCTCTCGGGGCGGATGCCGTTCCCCTTGCGATGCCTGCCTTCTTCGTCGGCCTCCCCTTCCGCTGGAGCACCATCACCTGCGCCAGAAGGATCATTCTCCGCCTCCTCCGCCTCCGCAAAATTCCCCTCGCGTGCAGCTTCCTCGAATTCCTCTCCGTATCCTTCAGGATCCCTGACATGCACATTTACGAGGTCCGCAGGCAAACGAAGCAGACCCCCGTCAGGAATAGCCCCGTGCTGTGCAGCAGGAACGACACGTTCCGGACGCGATTGCACATCGTGTTCGTCCGGGCGCTGCAGGATATGCAGCCCTGCAAACCCTGCCCTGATTCCTCCTAAACTCTCCTGCGGATCTTCCTCCGCGACTTGTCCCATGGCACGTCGGATCTCTGTCACAAAATCATAAGCGGGTGTAGAGGGGTTCGCACCGTGAATCTGTCCTGCACCAGGTGCGTGCACACCTTGCGACGGCAACGAACAACCAGCGCCCGGCCCGCGCGCCACCTCCACTCCTGCGCCATCCGCCACACTCTGCGTACGCGTCGCCAACCCACCACCGTCGGCACCCGCCATAACAGAGCCAACACGTTGGGTTTGCGCTACACCACCAGGAGAAATCTGGGCCGTCGTCGGGCGACCCAACACAAAACCCCCTCCCGAAGAAGGTTGCGCACCGTGAATCTGTCTTGCACCAGGTGCGAACACACCTTGCGACGGCAGCGAACAACCAACGTCCGGCCCCAGCGCCCCCTCCACTCCTGCGCCCTCCGCCACCCTCTGCACCGGCGTCGGCAACCCGCCGACGTCGGCACCTGGCATAACAGGCCCAACCGGTTGGGTTTGCGCAACACCACCCGGAGAAACCTGGGACTTCGTCGGGAGACCCAACACAATACCACCTCCAGCAGAGGGTTGCGCAACAAAATTCGGTCCTGCATCAGGTGCGCGCACACCTTGCGACGGCAGCGAACCTCCTACGTCCTGCCCACGCGCCCCCTCCACTCCTGCGCCCTCCGCCACCCCCTGCATACGCGTCGGAAACCCATCACCGTCCACACGCGAAGCCTGCCTTGACTGGACATGACCCCCTCCATTGTCCTGTTCGCCAACCTTTGCCTTCTTCTGCCGCGCAACTTCGACTGGCTCTCGCGCCACACCACCTCGCGCCGCGCTCCCATCGTCTCCACGTGGATGCTTTGCACCAGCACCACCTCCCGCACCATGACGGGCCAGCCTTGACACTGCTGCAAACACCCCAGGAAGAGCCGCGAATCCAGCTTCTCCGAACGCTTTCTGCGTCGCCTCCTTCACCTCGCTGATAACCTCCTCCTTCAGCCCCTTTGTTGCGTCGGTGACTGCCTTGCGGACACGATCATCAACAGCCGTGACGATGGAGGCACCGATTGTTTCCAGGCTCTTGGCGACAACCCTCTCAACGCACGCGGCCACTGTCTTCTCGAGGGATTTCTCGAAGGCCTCTTGGAGGCGTTCAGACGCAGCTGTGACAGCGCTCGTCACGGAGGTGTTGACATGTGGAACGATGCCGTCAATGGCACCCTTTGCGGCTGTTTCGAGTTTCTCGCCCACGGTCGCAACCGCCACTTTCACAGACGTCAGCGTCTCCTCAGTCTTCACGCGCAACCCTTCGGCTTTCACCGCAGCTTCTGCGTGAGCAGTCACGAGTGTCTCCACACCTTTCGCAAAAGTCGCCTGCAACTCCCCAGATCGCTCCACCGCTGTCACCGCGCTTTTCGACACCCCATCCACCTTATCCAAAATCTCCCTCGCGTCCTGCAGCACCTTTGCGTACTTCTCCCTTTCCTCCCCAAGCTGCGTCACGGACCGCGTGAAGTCCGCCCTCAGTTGCTCCGTGCTGGTGCGCTCTTCTTCCAGCTTCTTCTCCAACCTCCTCCTCTCTCTCTTCTTCTCGCCCTCCTCCGACGCATCCTTCGACTTGCTTTTGCCCCTCCCCTTTCCCTCCATCTCCTTATCTGCACCGCCTTCCCTCCGCAAACCCTCTTCCAGAGTAGTTTCCCCTCCCACCACCTGTGTCGAGGTTCTCGACCCGCCCATCATAGCTTCCCCTCCCTCCAACTGCGACGGGGCCTTCGACCCGCCAATGTCGAGTGTGTTCCCCTGAATATGCTGAGTAGGCTGCTCATCTGGAGAACCAGCATGTGCATCAGCTTCGTCCGCGAGAGGAGGAGCTTCTTGGCCAGTCTCAGCCGCACCAGCTGTTGCAACCCCTGTCGATGGCATCACAAGAGGCATATAAGTCCCGTTGTAACGTTGACCGCTCGCCGTTTCCTCCACGAACGCGCAAACCTGCCTTCGCATAGCCTTGTAATCCCTCCGCAAGCTTTGGCGGCGATCAAACGCCTTGATGTCGGCGACAACGGCGTCCAGATGGGTGAGCAACAGCCTGTACAAGTCCGCGATGCGGAAAATTGGGCTCTTGCCCGCTTCCCTCATCACCCCGCAATCCTGCTCATGCACGCAAAACAAAACGTATGTTAACGGCTGCAGAAGGAACACCACCGACATCTCGAAGCAAAAAAAAAAACACACCAGCTGGATGATTTTGTTCCACGTCTGGAGGCGCTTGTCGACCTCTTCCGCCTTCGGCAGCGCAAACCCAGAGCCGCCGAAGCTCGAGAGTGCCTGCTCACGTGCCTTGCTGATAATCCACCTGCATGGGGACAGTCCAAAAGAATTAGTGATTCCCGTGAACGACTCATCTGTTATTTGCAAAAATCTGCCTTTGAATAAACAACACAGCAAGGGTCACACTCACTTGTGAACATCTGTGACAGCCTTCTCGTGGTCGCGAAGCCGTTGTTTCGCGTCCAGACTGAACACCACAGTGCGGTTCGTCGCGACCGACTCACGCACATCCGAGGCGTAGGCCACGACCAGCACGCTGCAGTGACTGGCCTGATGGTCCTTGAAACTGCGCACCAGGAAACGAAGGTTCAACGCGTACGCAGAGGAAACCCTAAAAGCGACGAATCCTTCTGCCTATGATGTTAGCTCACCTAGAGACGATGGGCACGGCAACGACTTTGGCCCCGCAGAGGCCTATCGTCTGAGGCAGGTCGCGACTTCCACCCTTTTCGAGCACCTTGCAGACGAACTCGGCGGGCACGACCCGTGAGTTGACTGGGTTCTCGAGGAGCGACTCTGCGTGCCTGCAACCAAATCGCGTGTGAAGCGTCAGCAGGTAATTTCATTTGCATGAGCAGAGTGATTCAGATAACAAACTCTTAACACAGCTTGCGCAAGCACTCACAACAGTGCAACCGTCAAGGCTGCGGGAGTGACGGGTGCTCTCTCGTCCGAAAGAGCAAGGTAATCTGTGTCCGTGAACTCTAGCTCGACATCGCGGTAGGGACGGTAACGGAACGGCCTGAACGACGCATCCTGCTCGACTAACCCCTCCTGAGGAGCAGACATCTCATGCGGAAGCAAAGTACGGAACGATCTCGTGGACGAGGAAATTATCTGGAGTCGCGACTAGCTCGTGCGGAAGCTAACTACAGACGGACCTCGAGGACGGGGGAATTAACTAGACTCGCGAGTAGCAGCGGAGGAGGCAACTACGGCGACAATTACTACTCAAGATTGCTAGAGCGGAGAACCGCGGGGGAAGAGAGTTCAGGGACAGGAAACTGGAGAATGAAAGCTTTTGAGAAGCAAATGACAAAAATGAGCCACATCGCCGTGACATACCCCAACCCCGTGAGGCTTGCCGATGGAAGCCAAAACGTGTGGGAAAGGAACGGCC